AACACAACCTGCAGTTGTGTTTTGTTTCATTCACACATGTTTAAAATAGTGTGTCATTCATTTTATTTTCTATTTTCTTCATTATTTGTCTCCAAAATCAAAAGGAAAAAACAGATCACGATTCAGTTTTTTCAGTTTTCGATTTTGTGTTTAAATGAAAAATGGAAAAAAACGGATAACGGCCGTTTCCCGTTTACGTGACTCCTGTGACTGTGATGCCGGATCCAGGTCCGGGATTGATCCAGGTCCGGGACTGAGACCGGGACCAGAGCGGGACTGAGACCAGGACTGAGACCAGGACTGAGCCCAGGACTGAGCCCAGGACTGAGCCCAGGACTGAGCCCAGGACTGAGACCAGGACCAGACCAGGACTGAGACCAAGACCAGACCAGAACTGAGACCAGACTGAGACCAGGACTGAGACCAGAACTGAGCCCAGGACTGAGACCAGAACTGAGCCCAGGACTGAGACCAAGACCAGACCAGGACCAGACCAGAAGTGAGACCAGGACTGAGACCAGGACTGAGACCAAGACCAGACCAGAGACCAGGAACTGAGACCAGGACTGAGACCAGAACTGAGCCCAGGACTGAGACCAAGACCAGACCAGGACCAGACCAGAAGTGAGACCAGGACTGAGACCAAGACCAGACCAGGACTGAGACCAGAACTGAGCCCAGGACTGAGACCAGAACTGAGCCCAGGACTGAGACCAAGACCAGACCAGGACCAGACATGAAGTGAGACCAGGACTGAGACCAGGACTGAGACCAGGACTGAGACCAAGACCAGACCAGAACTGAGACCAGGACTGAGACCAGGACTGAGACCAGAACTGAGCCCAGGACTGAGACCAAGACCAGACCAGGACCAGACCAGAAGTGAGACCAGGACTGAGACCAGGACTGAGACCAGGACTGAGACCAGGACCAGACCAGGACTGAGACCAAGACCAGACCAGAACTGAGACCAGGACTGAGACCAGAACTGAAACCGGGACCAAGACGAGACTAAGACCAGACCGGGACCAGATCGAAGGCTCAGAGCCCACAGCAGGGCTGGAGCTCGAAGCTGAGGCTCGGACCCCACAGAGGCTCGGAGTCAAAGCTCAGAGTCCACTCTGGTCCCGGTCTGGTCCCGGTCTGGTCCAGGTCTCAGTCCCGGTCTCAGTCCCGGTCTCCACCCCGCTCTGGTCCCGCTCTGGTCCCGCTCTGGTCCCGCTCTGGTCCCGCTCTGGTCCCGCTCTGGTCCCGAACCTGGATCAGTCCTGGTTCAGTCCAGCATCGCAGTCACGTAGTCGCGTAAACTGGAAACGGCCTTTATCTGTTTTTTTCATTTTGGTTTTGGAGACAAATAATGAAGAAAATAGTTGTTTTTGTTTTCTTATTTTTGGTTTTATATTGAAAAACGAATGAACGAATGACACACGGATTGTTTAACACACAAACCCGGCAGATTTCCACCTTGTGATGTCATGTGGTGGTACAGAAAGTGCTCCACTGTGTTTCTAAACTCCACACACCTTCACACTTCAGGTGAGCAGTTTCTACACACAGTCAGACTCCTCAGAGACACGGGGATAATTAGTTCATTTTTTATGGGACTTTTATTCTCCCAAAACCTTTCCAGTGACATTTGTGGAAATTAAAATGAACACAAGCTCCATAAACGCTGGCCTCCCTCTGGATAAACCTGCTCGGAACTGGACCTGGACTCGATATTTGGACATTTTCGGAGAGGGTTTAATTTCCTGTTTCCTGTGTGTACTTATCCCCGTTTTCCATTCTGCTTTGGTCAACGTTTTTACAGACCACTGAGCTGAAACTATAAACAATAATTTGAAAAAGCAAGATATTTAAGGAAGATTAAACTTTTTATTTATTTACTTTGAATATTGAATTATTATTTGAGTAAATGTGTCCTGCAGATATTCTGTTTAAGTAGCTCTTAGGGTCAAATAAGTTTGCTGTGTACTGTCTGCAACTAATCATTATTTTATTGTTATTTTACTGTGTTTTATTGTCAGAGAATCAGGAATGTATGTGTGTGTATATATAGTGTGTATTAGGGCCCGACCGATATGATACTGATAAAATGGGAGTTGGAGCTGCTGATAATCGCAGATATATTGTTTATATTATACTGTAAAAATTCACTGTAAATCTTGAATTGTTTAAAAAAAACTTAGGTTTGGCTCTAGTGGATTTTAAATTGGGTTTATTTAGGCAACATTTATTGATATTCTGACTCTTTACGTCATATTTACAGACAGTAGGTTGGACTAATGTCATTTCTGCATCACATTCTAGCAGCGAGTGATGGATGTTCCAGTTCTTTTTAGAGAACCGGCTCTTTCGGCTCCCAAGCGACTCTTCAGATTGTTTTGTTGCAAGCAGGACTAAACCAGAATTGAACCAGGACTGAAAAAGGACTAAACCAGGACTAAAACAGATCTAAACCATGTGTAAAACAGGACTAAACCAGAACTGAACCAGGACTGAGTGTCTTTATCTCTCTCCGTCTCTCGAGCCCAAGATTAGTCCTGGTTCATTTATTTTATGTTGAACTACAGCCAAACCGTATGCACACGCAGATTTATGAAAGTTTCGTTTTCAGCCGCTGCCGCTGTCAAACTACCACGAGTCTGCACGACGTGAAGAGAAAAAAAGAGAGAGAAAGAGAAAACACGGCTCCCAATAAGGATCCCGTTGTTTGCTTCTAAGAGCCGCTTCGTTCGCGACCGACCCATCACTAGTAGCTAGTAAAGAAAATACACAGCTGATTTACATATCAATGCTGGTCCAGTAACAAATATACGGTCAATATAGTCACTTTACAATAGACCAATAGAAAACACTACAGCAGCTAATCGCTAAACAATGAGAAAGAACCAAAACTAGCTTCAAATTCGACATATTTCCAACAGTCACACAGGCTCCTCCCACATCACAAGTCTGCACTAATAAATGTCCTTTTAATCCAGACTAAAACCAATTGTCCATAAAAAAAAAAAGAATATAATCTAAGTGCTGCACATGGATCTACGTCTCCGGGTGTAAACAAACACATGTGACTCTGGTGGTGTGTTCAGGGACAGTACGGACACACACACAGACAAATGACTCCACAGATAAATACTGATGCGCAGTGTCATGGAAACATATCGGCCGATCGCCAATATGTTTCCAGGTGCCCATATGCCCGACCGATATATCTGTTGGTCAATATTATCGTTCGGGCTCTAGTGTGTACTAGTATAAAGTGAGTGTATATATAGTGTGTACTAGTATAAAGTGAGTGTATATATAGTGTGTACTAGTATAAAGTGAGTGTATATGTAACCAGGGTAAAGTTCAATTCCCTTATCCAGATCCAACCCAGGTTTTCCCCTCTCCACATGATTTGTCACCACCCATCACACCGCCCATTTCACCAATTATCCAATCACACATCCCCAATCAGAGTATATAAGGTCCCCTGACGTCTCTCTCCTCAGTTGTGTGGGAGAGGAGCCAGGGGACAGAGCTTGAAGAACCAGACCCGGTATGCAACATTGTCACGTGTGCTTTCAATACACTAAAACACTACTGAACTGCTACCTCCACTACGAAATTATTCAATCAACCGCGCTTTATGGACATCTTACAACCTCAAATAATAATACTGGACTTTAAAGTAGTTGGACTCTGTTCACACCCTGGGCAACCAGACCCAGTTCGCAAGGACATTTAACTGAGTTGTTTGATTTTTGTTGCTGCAGCTGTTGTATATTTTGTTGTCTCACTTACTTCCTGTATAATACATTTTATTCATTTTCCACTAATCCCATGTCTCAATTTACTGCCCCTGCCTCCAGTAGCCTCACTTAGAATCTTCTGATCATTCAACCTTGCTAATTACACATAATAGTCATAACACAGTTACTACATGGTTATTACAGTTACAATCATTACACATTCGTTATACTTTTATTACCTAAGTAATAAGCAAACACTTGTTACATATATATAGTGTGTACTTGTATACAACAGGGATACTCATTGTGCGGCTCGCAAACCTCATGTGGCTCACAAGCTTATGTCAAAATAGTAACACAGCCAATATATTTTTCAAATGTTCTAGATAAACATACAGCGAACACTTCAACACAAACATCTGCATTACACTAAGTATAAATCAAGACTTAATTAATGGTGTTTCCTAAAGGGGGCGCCGTGACACCAGCAACCAGGGACGCATGAGTCCACGTACAAACAACCTGAACCCGACTGACGCTTTCAACTAACTCACACGCAACTCAGACTGCATAAAAAATGTTTAATTTTTTTTACCCGTGTAAGATATATCAATATTTTTGCACACTGCTGATGCAAGTATTTTTGCCGGCGTTTGTCTGTTTGTTTGTTTGTTTGTTTGTTTGTCTGTTAGCAACATAACTCAAAAAGTTATGGACCGATTTTGATGAAATTTTCAGGATTTGTTGGAAATGTGAAAAGGAAGAACTGATTTTATTTTGGGGGTGATCCGGAAGAAATCCTGGATTCTGGATCACTTTGAAATTTTAGTTAGCATTGTGGTAAATGGGGTCAAAAATTTTGTTTCTCAATATCTCGGTTAATTATTGACCAAACCCCATGAAATTTGACTCAGGGATGGACAATGGGATCCTCTTTCATATTCCAAAGGCTGATCCGGATCTGATCCAGAAGACTGATTTTATCGCAATTTATATAAAAAATGGGGGTAGTCCTTGGCGGAGGTCTGCGCTCTCTGACTGCTTTTCTAGTTTCATTAATATCACGTTATTATATTATACTCATTAGCAGAAAAAAATTACATGAGATTTTCTTTTTCGTGTCTAAAACGTTTCAAAATAAAATCAATATTGCGACATCTGTATCGAATCGTGGGAAAACAGAATCGTTGCATCCCTTACATAGTGTATATTAGTATAGAGTGAGTGTATATAAAGTGTATATGAGTGTAAAGTGCTTCTCACCACAGTTGGGCAGGGTGAATCTGGACAGCAGTTTCTTCCGTCCTCCGTCCTCTGTACAGCGCAGCTCCTGGTTGTCAGCCTCTTCTCCCAGGGTCAGTTTGATCCACATGTTTTCACAGGAGCAGTGCAGAGGGTTTCCGGACAGGATCCTGCACAAAATACGTACGATTCGTTAGTCCTAAACGACAGGAACGTGCTAAAGGAAGTCACTCACGGGGCTGCAGAGTGTGTCAGATGCCCTCCCTGTGTCTCCGTGTGGTCTTATTCTCCACAAAACCTGCTGAAGTTGTAGTTTATCTCTGCGCAAACATGTTCTGAAACGTGATTCTTGTTTTCGTTTGTCAGACTCCGTTCGCATTTCAGTCTTTTTGTCAGTTCTCGTGGACGTGTTTAAAATGTGAACTTTGAATGTTTATGTTTGTTCAAATTGCCAGTGCCAGCGAGTGAAAGGAGTTCAAACCCGACTGCCAGCTCCATTTACGTTCACTTATTGAAGTCAGTTAGAGCGATTTGTTCCGCGTAGTATTAAATTTAAATCAGACCTATTCTGAAAAATTTACTTCTCAGAGCTTTAAACCATGTTATAATCGTTTCCTCTCACCAATTACTCACTCAAAAGCAGTATTGGTTGTGATTCGCTTATTTCCAAACGCCTAATTGTTGATCATCTCCCATTTTCACATCACCAGCACTGACCACTGCTCTGTACAACACACCGCATATATGAATGGACATAAATGCTCTAAAAAGGCGTCGCGTTCTAAAAAGGAAGTGCTCCAGGAGGCTCTTCCGGCTCCTTCTGACTCTGGCTCCCATTGACTTGCGCTGGAATATCGTGGCTCCTCTCTCCGTACCCGCTGCCGTGAGCCTCATCATTTTGGTCTTAAAGGGCCCATCTCACGCAAAATCAACTTTTCAGAGCTTTCTACCTTCTCAGAGTGATGTGTGGGCCTTGTAAATATCGCCGAAGTGGTTTTTAGATTGATTCTGCGTTTTTTTTTAAACAAATTGCAGTGTATTTCTGCCACCCTCCCACGTGACAACAAACTAAAGCTGCTACAACAATGACGCGGCAGATACACCTATGACGCGTTGGACGTAGCAGAAAATGCTTCAAACCCGCCCCCGTCCCGCGCTCCACGACCTCCGCCCCGTCTCCACCCTGACTGCAGTGAACATGATATAATAAGTTTATCTACTAGTGTTTATTAATACTTTACCAATCAGTAATGTTCAGCTGATGTCGACGCGGTGCTTGCGCTTTGAGCACCTCAAAGTCATCGTTCCAGGTCCAACACATGCAGCTGAACGCGCTGTATCACCATGATGAATAAAAGTTTATTCCTGCCGCTATCAGGGCGCACGTCTGTCTCCCCCTCCCTCCCTGAGATGGCGGAGGAAGGGCGGCTCACTCAGAGCCTATGTCACGTTTGGAGGGCGGAGCCTGTACTTTCTCAGGACGGGCGGGGATGAGCAATAGTCGGCCTTTCATAGTTCCTGGTCTGTGACTGTCTCCAAGAAATCAGTAAGATTTCAGAACTATTGTGTAATGGATGTTCCAAAACCCAAATTGTGCAGAAGATACAATGTGAAAAGAGTTATTTTGCATGAGATGGGCCCTTTAAAATGTTCGTATTAACTCGCTCTACATGATCCTGAAGTTTTCATTTCACTATTTTGTTCCATAACGGACCAATCAGACGCCTTCATTCCCCGAGCGGAGCGAGTGTGGGCTCAGACTGGACTGAGGTTAAGTCTTACAAAGTTAAATTTTAGGCGCTTTGAGGATTTTTATTTTATTTTTTTTAAGTTTATGTTGAAAATAGAAAATAATCCAACTTTTCTGAAAGTTGTTGATGCCCTGTCAGCCGAACACGGGCAGTTTGAATTTCCAAAAAATACATTGTGCTTCTATGGGAGAATTCTTTCTGGGCTCAAGGTCGCGGGAGCTGCAGTACCTGGAGCGGCCACTAGTCTGTCTCGAGTCAGGAAAGAGGGAGAATGCCTTGTCCAGTTTTTATTGTGGCCATACCGGCTTGTCAAAGCCTGATCCCGTCCGATCTCAGAAGGTTAGCAGGGCCGGGCCTGGTTAGTTCTTGGATGAGAGACACTGGGAAAATCAGATGCCACAGGGGGGCGCAAGTGGCAATAACTGTCGTTGTGTCCTTAGGCAAGACACTTCATCCACATTGCCTAGTATGAAAGTGGTGTGTGCGTGAGTGATGGTGGTGGTCGAAGGGGCCGATGGCGCCGATTGGCAGCCTTGCTTCTGTCAGTGTGCCCCAGGGCAGCTGTGGCTACAACAGTAGTTTACCATCACCAGGTGTAGAGTGAATGAATAATGCTGAATAATGCTCTGTAAAGCGTCTTTGTGACAAAAACGTCTGTGAAAAGCGCTCTATAAATAAAGACTTACTTACTCACTATTATAGATCCATGAGCTGAACGCTGTGGGCGACGTCACACTCGCTTCTCCACTTCTTTATACAGTCTATGCTCTGTACTTACTTTGTTCTCCAATTTTATTTTCTTAATTGGTGATGCAACATAAAAAAAGTGGACTAAGAGAACGTGACGTCACCCGCGGCGTTCGGCTCCACTCAGATGAAACTCCCGATACTAACACGGTTACACCAGAGAATTTGGAGCCAGACTCTGTATTAAGAGGGGGATTTTTTTAACATACAAAATAGAGCACAAAGTAACAGAGAGGGACGGCAAGATTCTAATATTCTGTCCTTCACCTGCTTGTTTCTATGGATACGTCACTGCTGTGCTTGGAATGTTCCACAGTGTGACAACAAACAGCGCTGTCTTACATTTATTCAATTACAAGTGGCTTTATAGCTCAAAAACACCTAAAAACACGGGCGTTCTGACACAGATCTGACCCGTAACTTGTTCTGGTTTGGTCTCCGTGACGATAGAAAGGTTTAATGCCACACTGTGAAACATTCCAGACAAAGCAACAATAACATTTCCACGGAGAAAAGCAAAGTCCACGTGTCCGTTTGCTTCCGTCTCTGTCGTGAAACCGCCTGCGTCGAGTTTTTAATCTTCCCGTCGTCGGCGCAGAACGTCCGCCTCCGTCCGCCTCCGTCCGCCCCGGGGCAGCTGCGGCTATTACACAAGAGCCGCCGAACGTGTGCCGAGAGTGTGATTAAGAGCGTGTAGGATATGAGAGAGGAAAGAGTTTGGTATTAAAATAAATATCTTGAATAGATGGTCCCTGAGATTTGGTCGTGTTATTGGATTGTCCCCGGAGACGCAACGGAGACTCACTCATCTACTGTACGAAGAAGAAGAAGAAGAAGAAGAAGGAGAAGAAGAAGGGAACAACGCAGCAACGGAGAGATATATGAAACTGATAAAGAGAGAGAGAAGGAGGGGAGGAGGGGGAGAGAGGTGCAAGAGGAGTAGAGAGAGAATGGAAGAGAGGAGGGGAGAGAAAGGGGAAGAGAGAGAGATATACAGAGAGAGGGAGAAGATGTGGAGAGGGATAGGAAAGAGAGAGGGAAAGAGAGGAAGGGAGAGAGACAGGAATGGAGAAGGAGAGGAGAGAGAGAGAGGAAGGGAGAGAAAGAGATAAATAAGGAGAGAGATACAGAGGGAGAGGGAGAAGAGTCGGAGAGAGAGAGAGGGAGGGGGAGAGAGAGAAGAAGGGAGAAGAAGTGGAGAGAGAGGAGAGAAAAGAGAGAGAGAGAGAGAGAGAGGAGGCAGGAAAAGGGGTAGAGAGAGAGAGAGGAAGGGACAGAAAGAAAAGAGGGAGAGAGAGATATAGAGAGGGAGAGGGGGAAGAGGTAGAGAGAGAGAATGGGAGAGAGGAAGGGAGTAAAAGAAAGAAAGGGGAAGAGAGTGGGGGAGAGAGAGCGAGAGAGGGAGAAGAAGTGGAGAGAGAGGGAGAAAGAGGTGGGAGAGGGGTAGAGAGAGAGAATGGAAGAGAGGAAGGGAGAGAAAGGGGAAGACAGAGAGAGATATACAGAGAGAGGGAGAAGATGTGGAGAGGGATAGGAAAGAGAGAGGGAAAGAGAGGAAGGGAGAAGAGGTAGACAGAGGTGGGAGAGGAGACAGAAAAGAGAGAGAGAGAGAGGAGGGAGGAGAGGGGTAGAGAGAGAAAGAGGGAGAGGGAGAAGAGGTGGTGAGACAATGGGAGAGAGGGAGAGAGAGAAAGGAGAAGAGAAAGGGAGAACGAGAGAAGAAAGGAGAAAAAAGAGGAAAAGAGAGAGAGACAGAGGAAGGGGGCGAAGAGGTGGAGGAGGAGAGGAAAGAGAGAGGGAGAGAGAGGGGTAGAGAGAGAGAATGATGAGAGAAAAGGCGAGAAGGAGAAGAAAGGAGAAAAAGGGGAAAAGAGAGAGATAGAGGGAGGGGGAGAAGAGGTAGAGGAAAGAGAAGGAGAGAAGGAGAAGAGGTGGAGTGAAGAGAGTGGGAGAGAGAAAGAGGGAGAGAGATAGAGGGAGAAGAGGTGGAGAGAGGGAAGACAGGACAGAAAAGAGAGAGAGAGAGAGAGGAGGTAGGAGAGGGGTAGGGCGAGAGGAAGGGAGAGAAAGAGGAAGAGAGAATGATATAGCGAGGGAGGAGAGGTGGAGAGAGAGAATGGGAGAGAGAGGAAAGGAGTGAAAGAGGGAGAGAGAGCTATATAGAGGGAGTGGGGAGAAGAGGTGAAGAGAGAGATGAGAGGAAGGGAGAGAAAGAGGGAGAGAGAAATATATAGCGGAAAAGGTGGTGAGAGGGGAGAGAGAGGAAGGGAGAGAAAGAGGGTGATAGAGGGAGTGGGAGAAGAGGTGGAAAGAGAGGGAGAAAGAGGTGGGAGAGGGGTAGAGAGAGAGAATGGAAGAGAGGAAGGGAGAGAAATGGGAAGAGAGAAATATATATAGAGAGAGAGGGAGAAGATGTGGAGAGGGATAGGAAAGAGAGAGGGAAAAAGAGGAAGGGAGAGAGACAGGAAGGGAGAAGAGGTGGAGAGGGAGAAGAGAGGGAGAAGAAAGAGATAAATAGGGAGAGAGAGATATAGAGGGAGAGGGAGAAGAGATGGAGAGAGAGAGGAGAGGGGGAAGAGTGGGAGAGAGAAAGAGAAGAAGGGAGAAGAGGTGGAGAGGAGAGAGAAAGAGATAAATAAGGAGAGAGATATAGGGAGAGGGAGAAGAGTTGGAGAGAGAGAGGAGAGGGGGAAGAGGGAGAATGAGGGAGCGAGATGAAGGGAGAGGTAGAGGGAGAGAGAGAAGAAAGAGAGAGAAAGGCGGGAGAGAGAGAGGAAGGGAGAGAAAGAGATAAATAGGGAGAGAGAGATATATAGAGGGAGAAGAGATGGAGAGAGAGAGGAGAGGGGGAGAGAGAAAGAATGGGAGAGCGAGATGAAGGGAGAGAAAGAGGGAGAGAAAGAGAAGAAGGGAGAAGAGGTGGACAGGGAGGAGAGAGAGGGAGAGAGAGGAAGGAGGCAAAAGAGAGAGAGAGAGAGGGGGTAGGTAGAGAGAGAGGAAGGGACAGAAAGAAAGAGGGAGAGGGAGAAGAGGTGGAGAGAGAGAAATATAAGAGCTATAGAGAGAGAGGGAGAAGGGGAGAGAGAGACAGAAAGGGAGAAGAGGTGGAGCAAGAGAGGACTGAGAGAGAGGAAGAGAGAGAGAAAGTTGGAGAAAAGGTGGAGAGAGACGGGAGAGAGGAGACACAGAGGACTGAAAAGAGAGAGGGAAAGGAGAGAGAGATTGGGAGAGGGGTAGAAAGAGAATGGGAGAGAGAAAGGGAGGAGAGAAAGGGGAAGAGAGAGACAAAGAGGGAGCAGGAGAAGAGGTGGAGAGGGAGAGGAGAGAGAGGACTGAGAGAGAGAAAGTGGGCGAAGAGGTGGAGAGAGGGGGACAGAGGAGAGGGAGGACAGAAAAGAGAGAAGGAAAGGAGAGAGAGAGATAGTGGAGAGAGAGAAAGGGCGAAAGAAAGAGACTTCGACTTCACCGAGAGATTTACTGCATGATCATTTTAGCTTCTTCGACCGCATGAAATTACATCTAAAAAGCCATAATTAAGAAAGAAAGAGGGATACAGACAGAGAGAGAGAAAGAGAAAGAGTGAGAGAGAAACGGAGAAAGAGGTAGAGATGGGGGGGTTGTATAGAAAAATATAGAAAGTCATAGAGAGAAATGAAGAGAGAAACAGAGAGAAAAAGAGAAAGTGAGTGACCGAGAGACAGAGAGAGAAAAGGGATAGAGAGAAAAAGAAACAGACAGAGACAGACAGAGTGGAATGGAGAGAAAGAGAGAGAGAAAAAGATGATAGAGAGAGAGAAACTTAGAGACAGAGAGAGCAAGAGACAGAAAGAGGAATGAACAGACAGAGAAAGAGAGAAAAAAACGATAGAGAGAGAGAGAAATATAGAGATAGAGAGAGGAAAAATGGAGAGACAAAGACAGAGAGAGACAGAGAGAGCAAGACAGAGACGGAGAGAGGAATGGAGAGACAAAGAGAGAGAGAGAGAGAAAAAATGACAGAGAGAGAGAAATATATATAGAGAGAGAAAGGAATGGAAAGTCAAAGAGAGAGAGAAAGAAAAGAGGACAGAGAGAGAGAAATATAGAGAGCAAGAGAAAGGAATGAAGAGACAAAGAGAGCGAGAGAAAAGAGGATATATATAGAGAGAGAGAAAAAGGAAGAGAGAGTGACAGGCAGAAAGAGAGAAACAGACAGAGAGAGAGAGAAAAAAAAGAGGCTAGAGAGAGAAATATAGAGACCAAGAGAAAGGAATGGAGAGACGAAGAGAGAGAGAAAATATGATAGAAAGAGGGAGAAAAAGACAGAGAGAGTAAGAGACACAGACAGAGAGAAAGAAAAGAGGCTAGAGAGAGAGAGAAATATAGAGACAGAGAGAGAGGAATAGAGAGACAAAAAGAGGGAGAGAAAAGAGGACAGAGAGAGAGAGAGAGACCAAGAGAAAGGAATGAAGAGACAAAGAGAGAGAATAGAAGACATATAGAGAGAGAAAAAGAGAGTGAGAGGCAGAAAGAGAGAGAAACAGACAGAGAGAGAGAAATATAGAGACAGAGAGAGAGGAAAGGAGAGACAAAGAGAGGGGAGGATAGAAAGGGAGGGAAACACAAACAGAGAGAGCAAGAGACAAAAACAGAGGAATGGAGAGACAGAGACAGAAAGAGAGAGAAACAGACAGAGAGAGAGAGAAAGAAAAGAGGCTAGAGAGAGAGAAAAAATATAGAGACAGACAGAGAGGAACAGAGACAAAGAGAGGGAGAGAAAAGAGCACAGAGAGAGAGAGAGAAATACAGAGACAGAGAGAAAGGAATGAAGAGACAACGAGAGAGCGAGAGAAAAGAGGATATATATAGAGAGAAAAAGGCAGAGGGAGTGAGAAACAGAGAGAAACAGACAGAGAGAGAAAAAGAAAAGAGGAATAGAATGAGACAGAAATCTAGAGACAGAAAGAGAAGAATAGAGAGACAAAGAGAGAAAGAAAAGAGGATATATAGAGTGAGAAACACAGAGACAGTGAGAGAGAGAAAA